AAAATAATGTACACAAGCATGTGTATTGTCAGATGTAGATAAAAAGAAGAACACCCTGTGTGAATTCCTGGGTTCAATGTGCGGCATTTTCGTCATTTCTGTGACAAGTACAATTTAAAAAAAGAAGGTTGAGTGAACTCAGGAAATGTAAACCAAAAGACTAAAGAAATCCGCTTTCGAGAAAACATTTTCAAAATTTCTCAAACTGCTTCAATGTTGTCCACAGAGTAAAATCCTCTAAGCTGAATGCCATGATGTACTCACCACAAATTATCTCTACACAGCACCCATAATACAACATACCACTTAAAACTTAAACAAGCCCAAGTGCACACTTACCCCAAGGAAAAGAAAAATACCCGCTCCACAAAACAGATCAAAGATCCCAAACCAGCCCCCAAATATATTACATCCCTACTATAGTTGTGGTGAAAGTGGGGAGCAACATAAAAGCAGGCTATAACAAACATGTAGACACAAACTGAATAACAATACAAATTGTGTATTTGCAAGAAGACCAAATAGAATCATTTAAAATAAGTACTTCCAAGATAAAGATCACAGTAATATACTCTTATATTGAAACTAACATTCTATGGGCACTACACAGTGGGGGATGCTGCCCACTAACTCCCATTCCTGAAACCTTCACAGGGCCAGCTTTACATAACTAATTCTCAAGTGGCTACATTTTGATCTTGCCTTAATGAAACCAAAAATCCAGACATTTGTAAGCATATTTACTAGTTATCTGGCTGAGTAATCTCACTGTGTTAAATGTCTCCATGGTGCTCAACTAATCTTCACACACTCAGTTTGATAAAAAAAAATTGTGATCCCATATGCAGGCATGAAATACAGTAGGGTTACTATCTTTTATTTAAGGATCTGAGATTTGTTTTACAATTTTATCGGTTGTAGCTGTTAATACAATGGCAAATATAATTGCAAGTCTCTCACGATAATGTTATATGCAAACTATATTCATATTTCTGATAATGGTAAATGTCACTGTATGTCAAATATTAATATTAATATTGATAACATTAATGAACCTCCAGACCATCTCCAGGCTGCTTGGAAAGAGCAAGGAAATTTAAATATGCTGTTAAACAGAAATTGCATTTTTTTTTGTATATAGCATTTTGTAAACAAAGTTGCACTTGTAGTGCATAGCACCTCAGCTCATTTTTCTTCAACTGGAGGGATTATTTAATATGAGTCAATGCATTATCTTCTTGCAGTAGGGGGTAGGAAAGAAGGATGGAGGATGTAGATGCTTTAATTTCTGCTCTCTGTCAATACATATTCACAGTAGTCATGGATACAGTTTTAGCTTAGGAAATCAAATCCCCATGAACCCCACAAGACTAATTAGGGTTACTAGGTAATTCCATGTTCTAATATACTCTTTTAAATACAAAGGTTTTAATATATTTCCATTATTCAAATCTTAAATAAATTATCTAATTAAAGGAAATTAATGTGTAAATTATATTGACATTGTTTATTAATTTTATATATTACAGTATGTTAAATATTCACTTTACATTCATGATCTCTTAAAACCTTAGCGGTAAATTGGTAAGTAGTAAATTGAGAAAGGAAGACAATAACTTCAGCCCTAACCCCCACCCCCTGAACAGACTGAGAAAGGTGTTACATTCAGTCAAAATGGTGCAGTGTCATAGAGTTCAGCTCCTTGGTAAATTAATAAGAGGCTATGAACTGCAGTAGTAGTTAAAATGCACTAAGGGGTTAATAAACATTTAATACTCATACCGATTTGTTTGACAACTACAGACAGCTGCGCTACTTTAAGGATTCTCTGTGCAAAGTGTCAGTTTTACAAAGTAGGGAAAAAAGTGATATGCACTGGAGTCCAAGACACTGCAGTGCATATCACTCTGCAAATCACAAGTGGCAGCCCATTGAAGCTAAGCAGGTGTGAGCCTGGTCATACCTGGATGGGAGACCTCCTGGGAAAAACTAAGGTTGCTGCTGGAAGAGATGTTAGTGGGGCCAGCCGGGGGCACTCACCTGCAGTCCATGTGGGTCCTAATGCCCCGTATAGTAACGGGGACACTATACTGTAAACAGGCGCCTTCCTTCGGAAGAGACGTAAAACCGAGGTACTGACTCATTAAAAATCCCAGGGCGTTTCTCAAAAAGAGTAGGGGTGTAAACCTGGCGTCCTGGCCAAATTTCCCATTGGCCATTACGAATCATGGCCTCCTAATAATCCCATCTATGAATTGGCTTCATTACTCTGCTCTCCTCCGCACTGATAGCTGATGTGTGGTGAGCATTCTGGCGCACTATGGCTGCCGTCGCATCATCCAGGTGGATGCTGCACATTGGTGGTGGAGGGGAGTCCCCATTACCTGTTAAGCGCTTTGAGTGGAGTGTCCAGAAAAGCGCTATATAAGTGTAAGCAATTATTATTTTTATATCTCAGTATATCTACAGACACATCACACATTTTAAATGGCTGTATCTTTACAAACACCATACAGATAACGTCCCAGGTCCAGAAAAAAACCCAGGTCCCTAGTGCTGGCAAGGATGCAATTATAACCACAGCTCCACTCTGCAGCCTTGAAATACTGTATATATTTCAGACAAAAACTCACTGTGAAATCACTGATCATGATGTTACAAGAGATTAACATTTATTGGCTTGACTATAAATAGCTTTCAACATGTTTTTTTGTGAATTAGCCAATCAAAGGCTTCAGACACTATGCTCTCATGTCATGTATAAAGAGGTTGAAAGTGGTTACAAATCTGAAGACTTTGCAAGACTTTGAAAAGGAAACATCAAAATGAATAAAATGATAAGACTTTTTTTACTTTTTGTTTTTTTATCTAAACAATGTAATTTTTAAATGATTATATTTTTTGTGACATACAATAATGAACTTAAACAAGATCAACATTTTTATCGGACAGACAAATGTAATATGATGTAGAATTTTATATACAGTTTAAACAATCTGATCTGCAAATTGAAAATATGCTTTCAGGATGACGTGCACTGTTTATGAAGAATTACATTGTAGAAAAGAAGTTTGAAACAGAGCTGTACATTTAATATTATACAGTGTACAAGTGGTGCACAGCTACTTTGGTTTTCTTGCAAATTTTTGGTATTCCTTAAATTATTAAAATTCATTACTTAATGGGAAAAGTCCATTGAACATAAATAATTTAATAAGTTTCTATTTTGTTTACTAAATATTGTTTTCTTTCCAGGTTGGATTCTAAGTAACATCGTTAAGCAGCATCAGTCTTCAGTGACAGTTGAGCTAGGAGCTTCTGTTACACTGGAGTGTCTTTTACGACAGACCTACCCCAACAGTGCCGTCAACTGGTTCAAACAAGTCCATGGGCAATCACCTACACTCATCGGATCAGTTGAGAAAAATATATCTTATTACAATGAGTTTAAGAACAATGAACGTTTTTCAATAGCAAAAAGAGAAAATAATTTAACGTATTTCACCATTTCCAATATTCAGTGGTCGGATATCGCCAGCTACTATTGTGGAATAGTAAGGTTCAAAACTGTGATCTTTGGGAATGGAACTTTCATACAACCTAAAGGTAAATGTACCTTTGACAGATACATCTTTTACTGTTTCCTCATATTGGCCGTTTAAAAATATTAAGAACATTATTTTTGTTAATTAATTTAATTCTTATTTTAAACTGTGAGAGAGTGTTTCTTTTTTGATGAGTCACTTGCTCATGCAAGTTTCTTTCAGACATTAATTATTAAGCCAATTTAAGTATTTAAATTACTTAGAATTACCCAAGTAGTAATGGTTTCTAAAACACGATTCTAACAATATATCCAGAAAATATGGGCATTGGATTTATTGGTCCCTTGTAGTATCAAAAAGACAAAAAATAATGACAAAAACTAGTTTTTTTTTGTCTGTTAATGTAGAGAAAGACATAAATAAATTAGTAGTTACTTTCACATTAATAGAGATGCCCTCTACCACATAATTAGTTGATTAACAGATTGCTTATTGTTATAAATTGTCCATCTTCATTCTTGCAAATTAGGACATTAAGACAGACAATCCTCTCTAAAACTGTCAATTAGAATCAAAATTATAATGGGGTCCAACAACAGATTTATTGCTGTAAAGTAGCATGTTCATTATGTCTGAATTCAAGAGACATTTTCCATTTTAATTTAGCTACAGTATGTTGTTAATTACATAAATTAAACTCACTTTAAACAAACACTTCAGCTAAATTAGGTCATAACTATTTCCACAGGATACTTAACTGTCCTACCACTGATGTTGTATATCTGTCACTCAGTATCTACCAGTACTTTAAGAGCTAATGATTTAGTACAATTTATTAACATTTTAGCACAGTATAAATAACTCATTTTTGTTTTCAAAATCTTTACTGATCGTTTGGATTCTCAAGGGCTTTATTCAGTAAAACATTTTATTTTTCAATCTGAAACATGAGAAATATATTTTTTTTCTATCTTCAATAAAAAGGAATCAAATAGTTGTATAGAGCAGCAGACTGTCCAGGTCCAGCCAGGAGATGATGTGACTCTGCAGTGTACAATACACACTGAGACCTGTCCAGGAGAGCACAATGTGTATGCTGGGACTTACTACCTTGCTATAGCCACTTGTGGGGAAACCCTGTTTGGAAATTGAAGAATGCCGAGGATAACATTTAAGCTATATTATTTCTTACTATAAAGTAAAAAGTTAAATTTAAATTTAAAGTTAAATTTCCAGTACATTAAATGTAATGGTGTACATGGGACACAGAGGAAAAATGTTTGACTACTTGATAAACTAAAGAATGTTAAATGTTTGAAATGTATGTTTTATTTCAAATTACAGAGATTCTGCGTATTACTGTACATATATAAATACATATCACATAACACAGTATAAAACTTTCAAGTTTACTTTGCTAATACATTTAAATTTCAAGATTTTTTTCAATAGCAAATTATTTCAATCTTCTGCAGTAAGAAAGTCTTAAAGTGAAGATCACAGTATGCACAGTGGTTTGTAAGAAGTATTAACCCTGCACCAACAATGTTACATCTTTCTGAATTACAAAATGGATGCACAGTTTTTTATAAGCTTTTATATTCTAATTGATCACTCGAAAAAGATGATGAGGTTATGTCCCAGGAAATAGGCAAAGAAGTAATATAAATGTACTAATTTCATAAGTGTCCATACTTCCTGGCAAAAAGTGCCCAAGTTCATGGGAAATAGTGGATGGACTGCAATAGTGAAGTAATCATACGTTTTCTGCTAAATAAAACTTGAGATGTTGACTGGACCACTTTTTTCCTTCTCAGAATGGCTTAGGCCTTGTGCTTCAGATCTTTTGTTCTGCTGTAATGTGAATTATCAACCCATTTTTAGATTTTTGGGTGTCTCGTTTGAAAACAAGAGATTTTAAAATGCAAGTAAACAAGTTATTGACATAAAACTACGTATATCATTTATTTACACTATACATTTACGAAGTGTTTATACTTTATATGAGAAGATGCCTTTTATTAAATATATTTAAAGGAACATAAGTAAAAGTCAATCCTAAGCAGGTTAATGCTGCAGTTAATATCCTGCATTTTGTAAACAATTTATTAATGGAAATTACAGGTCTTGGGTTGCAGGTTTTCTGAGATTACTTGAAAAGTTATTATGTATTAATTGAACAGGGCCATGTGATGGCCTTCCTGCAGTCCTGGCTCTGGCCGACGTGAGTGCTGTGCTCTTTATAATTCTCGTTTTCCTTGTCTACAGACTTTGTATTTGTATTGTTTTTTTATATTTAAGTTTTGTTTTTGCAATTGATGTTCTTGTTCTTCTTATTTTTGAATGAAAAAGCCAACGAGACCGCAGCTGAGAAGCCAAATCCAGGTAATTGTCTCTGCATATCTATTCTCATAGAACTTTATTTTTACCAAATTCTGAAATGCAAGGAAACAAGTTATTAAAATAAAATTCTTTATATAATTCCTTAACAATATAAGTTTACAAAGTGTTTATACCATACGTGAGAACACATTTTTATTAATAGAATCCAATCACACATAAGTGAAAGCTCTTAGCAGGTTAATGACACTATTAACATCTAATGTGCTGTAAAGAATTCATGAATGGCAATTTTGGTGCTTATTTGTCAGTTCTTTCTACAATGTCTTGAGTGAGTGAGTACTTTTGTATTAATTGAACAGGGCCATGTGAAGGGTATGGCCTTTTAACAGTCCTGGCTCTGGGTGGCGTGAGTGCCGTGCTCTTGATAATCATCGTTGTCCTTGTTTACCAACTGAACAAGAGAAGAAGATATAATCACAGTACAGGTATTTAGTCTATTCAGGATTGAATTATACAGAACATGACTTGAGAGCAATGCTGCACATATGAACAGGATCATATCGAAATGCATATACTGTATTGATGTGCTACAGAACCAGTTCACCTTAGAAATAAGAAACAGGAAAGGTCAACTATACAGCAGTACAGTGAGCATCAGATTTCAGCTGGCTCAGAACTCGATGAGACATCAATAAAAATGGGCACTCCATGTTAACAGTAACACAATGTGAAACTGCCTTCACTCAAGCTATTTATTCTACTTTACTTCTTTTGAAGTATTGACAATGAAACTAATGACCATTGTAGACAAAATGTTAATAAACATTCACTTAGACGTTTTCCTACTTTTAGAAATGAGGCCCACCCAATCAGCAGTTTCTGTGTTTAATAACTTGTATCCAAAGAACACATTTGCAATTCTTATTGTACTCTTGTCAAATTAAGGCTCTGTTTGCAGACATACTGTATACAGTATGAACTCCACTTCTTTTATACTGTTTTATTTCTACTATTTTCCTGTAATCACACACAAACAAGATGTAACTAGAATGTTATTTCCTTTGTGTTATTAGTAACACAATATAGAAAGACCTTCATTGTTCAGATATAACATGAATAATTTAAATAAACTCAGTGTGATAGTTGCTGTAACCTTTTTAGTAACAGTGTTCGCATTAATGCTTTTTTACATTTTTTTCTTGTGAAAGAACTTGTGAATTAGCAATTCTGGTACAGAAGTGTATAGTTATTGAGTGATTAGAGTTATGGAGATTTATTTTCATATACCTAGCTTAGTATTGTTGTTGGAACTAGGGTGTTGTGTGCTTACGACTGTCTCATAAATGTGTGTAGAGGTCCAAAATGTAGGAGACTATGACCTAACATTGAGACAGTTTGTCTACCCGTTACTTGTACAAAGTATCCACAGTGCCTTCTAGGTTCCTATATCTCAATGGAATAGGAACAAAAATATCATAACGGAACGATTGACAAAATACATAATGTATCTTACTTAAAAATATTTTAAAATGTTGTTATATTGGAATAATAACATTGAACAGAGCAAAGTTAAATATGTCAGAAAATAAATGTCTATTATATTATTATATTATTAAGTAAAATATTCTTACATCTTTAACATTTTATCTTAGGACATGTTTCTGAAAATACCCATCAGGCTTCTCATTCCCAGTCTCATGATGATCAGGTAAAGATTTTTTTACATCAAATTATTTTAAAATCACAGAATCATTTATACCTATATGTGTGAAGATGTGTATTCAAATAAGAGCTAAACAATCTATTCTAAAATGTCATTAATTTTACTATTGATTAGTGAATTATATTATGTTATTATTAAACTGTATGCTATAAGTATAGGGATAGCACACTGGTTACAATTGTTACCTTGCAATTTTTAGTTCCTGGAATTGATTCTGGACTGTGGTGCATTCTGTTTGGAGTTTGTATGCGCTTTCCTCATGGGTTTTCTCTGGGTGCTCTAGTTTCTACTCACCTCCCTATAAGGTGCAAGTTTAATTTGAAAACTAACTGTAAATGATTACTGTGTGTTTGCCCTGCAATGGACTGGCATTCTGTCTACCATGTAGGTAGGCTCCAGGATACTGTAACACTATGGATATTCGTTATAACAGAAAATCAATTTGTGTCCATATGAATATTGCTTGAATACTGAATATTGGTGAATCTCATTATGTTGTTCTAATTAGTTATTGCTCTGGCTATTTTTGCAGAGAGGAAGCAGTGATGTGCTCACGTATGCTGCCCTGGAATTTTACCAGAATAATCGGAATACTGGAAAAAAGAGAAGAGAAATGAGGAAGGAATCGGAGCATGTCTCAGAGTATGCTGCTATTAGAACTCTGGCCAGAAGATAAGACATATAATAGACCACCTCAGATATAGATGATGAGAGTTACAGTAGATCCAGCACATTTGAGAAAAAAGATCTGAAACAAAACTGCAAATCTGCAATGAACAGGCAAGA